CTGTGCCTTCTGCCTGCAGCAGTGTAAGGCAGGCTGGGGCTGTGGGGGCTGGCTTAAGGAATCCTCCCTTGCCTCCAGGCCACTCAGCGTGGCTCCAGCAGAGAGCAGATGAGGGTGTGGGGGAAGAGGGAGAATCCCCCTCTGCCCTTTCCCTTAAGGTTTTCATGGCTGGCCAAATCATTAACAAGACAGGTTAGGAGAAAACAATACCAAGTTTCATAACATGTATACATGGGAGAAACCAGGGACACTGAGTTTCTCAACACAACAGCAGAGATTCTCGTCTTAAATACCATCTTCAGCTAAAGACAAAGGAGGATGTTGGGGGTGGGGGGAGTCAGTTACAGGAGATTACCACTAAAGCACAGTAAACAAGAGTAAGGCTATTATGCAGATTTAAGGCCTCACCTTCCACATTGATAAATTTCTAGAAATGAGGTCATCTCCCCGCTTCCCAATACAGAGAGGGAGATACCTTTACAAGTGGAGATTTCCCTTATAAATGTAAGTGTTTGTCTGGCAACTCCTTGCAGGGCCATCCAGAGAATGTGGCCAGAGAGACAGAATTTTTGCTAAGATGGGCTTGTTGGTGCCTTTCCTATTGTAACATCTATTTTGCATTATATTACAGCCATCAGATAGTAACTCTTTCCTGGAACAGATCTTCTATGTCAAACTCTTTAGGCAGTTAGTGGGGGAGGTCAAATGTCCGTCAGAGAAAACAATCAAGGTAAAGAGATATATCCCAGGGTGGCCAAATCTTGATCTCCCACAAGGGAAACCCGAGCAGCACTGGCTGTTTAACCTACAGGAGAGGCGAGAGCAGGCAGGGACCCTTGTACGCCACCTCCTTTTCCAGGAGACTCTTGGACACAGGGAAGGAAGCCTCCCAGATCACTGAGTGAGTGAGAGGCAAGGCAGGGCTGGGTCCCCAGGGCCGGAGTCCTGTTTCTGGCCCTGCCACTTCCTGGCAGCCTGAGCTTGGGCAAGCCCCTTAACCTCTCTGAGCCCCAGCTTCCTGCTCTGCAGAGCCGGGTAAGACCCACGGGGATATTGTTAGGGACTCTGCTCCTTCAAGCGGAGCACCTGCTCGGCCATTATAATGAGTAATGAAGAAGCACAGCGTCTGCGAGCAGGTGTTCGTCCCCCGCCCCCCCCCCCCGGGGCAGGGCCTTAAGTCTGAGGGGAGGACCGAGGGCCAGTGGCTGAGGTACCGTGGAGGGACGGGAGGGGTAGGGAGTGCTGAGGGCCTAAAATGGGAGTTCCTCCATCTGCCCTGCCTTCTGAGGTTCTTGGGAGACTGCAGGTGGGGTGGGTGACGTGTTTGGGAGCCAGGAAGTGCCCAGGGGATGGAGGGAGGAGGGAGGGAGGCTGCGACTCTGCCCTGCAGACCTCCCCTGGCCTGCGGCCCGCCGGGCCGTCTGTGCGTTCCTGGCACCGCTCTCCTCTCCATATGGCAGTCACTGGAGGTTGGTAGCTGTGCCTGGGAGACCTGAGACCGCTTCCTCCGCCTTGGGAGGGGGGAGAGCAAAGCTGAGCGGTAATTATAGACAGCCCTGCTCCATGCCGGCCCAGACCAGTTCCCTCTATTCCCGGCATGGCTCAGAGCGTGGGATGGGGAGAGGGGAGCAGAGGCAGCCTGGGGGAGGGACAGCCAGCTGTGGCTCACGCTGCCACCCCTGCTCTTGAGAAGAGGCTGGCTTTTCTGGATCTTATGCGGAGTCAGAGGGAGAAGGCCTGGTTTCTTCTCCTCGGGGGGGTTTGCTGGTTTTGGTCTCAGAGAGGCCACCCTTAGATGAGCGACATGAGCTGATCTGACCTGGGAGGTAAGTCCTGTAGTAACCAGGCAGATTTACCATGTGGGGAGACAGCTTGGGAGAGCAGTGGAGCTGGGGACTTCTTCCGGTCACTCTTTCCCTGCCAGAACTGTCCTATTATATTAGAATAGGGCCTAAATCCTTCTCCTGGCCTCCAGCATGGGGGTCCCCTGCCTGTCTGTCCAGCCTCATTGCCTACCACTCCCTGTACCAGAGCCATCGTGGCCCCCTTCGCTTCCTTGAACTGGCCAAGCTTGTTTCTGCCTCAGGACCTTTGCACATGCTGTGACTGCTGCCTGGAATGCTCTTGCCTCTTTTCGTGGATGGCTCCTTAGTCATCACTGGGGACTAAGCTGAGGTGTCACATCCTCACAGCGGCTTTCCCTAACCTACCCGTTCTAAGAAGCCCCTCCGCCCCCAGTCCATCTAGTGCTTAATCACTCTGAACCAGGCTTGCTGATTTCCTATTTACCATGGGCCAGGTCCTTCTCCTTTGTTTATTGCTGTTATCTGCAGTGCTTGGCACATCATAAATACTCAGACATTTGTTACCCAGATGAATAAATGGCTGTACGAATGGCTTTTCCTTCAGGATTGGCCAGTGACCCTAGGCAAGTCACTTTCCCCCTTTGAGGACTCCATTTCCATCTCTAAAAGGAGAGGCTGGAACTCCGGAGATTGATTCCCCCGTCATCGCCTAGCCGTGGAAACAGCCGGGACCCAAGTGTTGAGCAAAGGAGGAGGCAGGCCTGGAGGCCTGGGCAGACGTTCATCTCTCTGGCTTTTCCACCGCACAGTTATAATTGCTGACCCCATGCAGGCTGGCCCAGCTTTGTCTGGGGTCGTAGAATGTCAGCTGGGCAGCTGACAGGCTTTGTGTCCTGTGTCCACTCTGTCCCACTGAGCAGAAAGGAGCCAGCTGGGGCTGACTGTGCCTTGTTGATCACCCAGCTTTGGGCCTCTCAGTGAGATGGGCTTTCTGCTCATCCAGGAGCCTGAGCTGTTTCAGAGAGTGTCTGGCTCTGGATAGGATTTACTCACACCCGCAAAGAAGGGAAGGATGCGCTAGGGGATCCAGGGGCTGGGCAGAACTGGGATTGTGGTCTATGAAAGCATCCTTTAAGAGAACAGTCCAGAGAAGGCCCACGGGGGAGGTTTTGAAGCCTGGCCCCAAGGGAGCCTTCTGAGATCTCTTCTGCCAGAAGCTTGTGACAGTTCCTCCCCTCTCCAAGGCCAGGGGTGTGTTCTGAAGAAGTCACTCCAAACAGGGGCCCTAGGCCCGAGGTGCATTGTGCCAGCCAGGGTGAGGTCTGTGGAGGGAAGACAGTGGGACCAGCAGGGCAAGTGCGGGAGGAGCGCATTGCTCAGGGGCACTTCCTGGGGACAGCAGAGGGCTGGGGAGACAGCGTCAGTACAGCCCCAGAAGGCAGAGAAGGAGAGCCTTACCTGGTGCGATCTGGATCCAGGAGCCTGGGATTCCAGTCCCCGCCAGCCAGCCTAGGGGTTGGAGAGGGGCCGTGTCTAGGTCGGCTTTTTCCCTCCCAGACTCACCAGATCCTCTGAATCATCTGGAACAGTTGGTAAGAATCCTGACTCGAGGCCGCACCCAGAACTACTGAGTGGAGTCTCCAGGGAGGGCTGCTGTGGGGCTCCGGTTTGGTTATTAGAACCAGCACCTGACCTGCTGCCCTCGCAGCGTGGAGTGAAGGAGCACTCAGAACACAGCTCCCAACATTACACCAGAGGCCCCCGGCAGCTGCGGCCGCTGTTGGCAGGTGTCCAGGGCCAGCTGACACCAGGGTGAGGGGTGGGACAGTGAAGATGATTCGTGCAGCTTGTAATTGGAAAATACCCCCTTTTTTTCTTCCTCCAAAACAAAACACACGTTGGTGTGAGTGGAGAGAGGAATCTGACCATCATCTTGGTGGCACTCCTGAGTGTGTGGATTTTATTCTGCTGGTTGTGTGGGCGATGGGAGTTTGAACAGTTACAGAGACCACAGAGCTCGAGGGCTGAGCCGGTTGGATTATTGGAGGTGGAAGGACAGAAGGACGTGGCAGGGACTTAGGGGTGAGGTGATAATGAAGGGTCCCCCCATTCTGGAGGAGGTTCATATGCACTGCTTGGGAGTCGGGAAGCCAGGGTAAAGCTGCCCAAACAGAGTGCTCTTTAGTTTTTTTAAAATATACAACAACTCTGTATCTCTTAGACCCCAACTGTTGCACAGTAATTGTTTCAAGGGTGGTTTTGCCGTTTTAAATAATGCTGTGCTGAACATCTGTATAGCTTCTCTGATTAGTTTCTTAAGATAAATTGCTAGAAGTGTAATTCATTGCTGGACCACAGGATCCAATGTAAATCCTAATATTTAAAATATATATATGTTTTTTTCTTGAGTAGATAAAACACGCAAATGATTAAAAAAATCCAGACTGTACAAACAAGGGGTATAAATCTATCTCCCACACCTGGCTCCCAGTTCTGCAGACCCTACCGTAGAGAAAAATGCTATAACTAGTTTTTTGTGTATTGTTCCAGAAATATTCTACGTTTATATTTTCATATATGTTTCTGTTCTTACCGTTTTTTGTGTTTTAACACAAATGGAAACTATTTATATACACATTTTAAAATAGTCTGTTTCTTTGTATGTCTGTATTGTAGTGTATCTGTCCAGTCTTGAATTGGTAATGACACACTTTTAGTGTTGAGAGATCTTCTTTGAACAACTGCAGTGTGCAAGGCACAGGGTTAAGGCATTGGGGAAGGGCCAAGGCGTCCCATGCTGGGCTCTGCCCGCAGAACGTTTTGCAGTCTCTTGGGGAAAGGGGTTTGCAGAGAGCCCGGGAACCAGTGGTCACGGAGCATCCCGGGCGGGCAGTGGAAGCGGCTCTTGGAGGCAGGGCGCGTGGGGAGGCCAGAAAGGTCCCCCACTGAGTGACACCCAGCCCTCCCCAGGGAGCGCCCAGGCAGCGTGCATCCAGTGCCTTCGTGTGAGGGGCTGGGGGCCACGGGCTCGGTCTCTCTTGAGCCCGGAGCAGAGGCCTGGGCGGCAGCTGGGCACGGAAAGCTGGCCTCACGGGGAAATCGTGGGGGTGTGTGCTGGGGCGGAATGCTTGCTTTCTCTTTGACACCAGACTAGATCTCTCCTTATCTTTTCCTCCTCTTTCCTTTCTTCCCCAGGGGCTCGTCCAAAGTAGAGGAAGCATGCGAAATCTACGCCAGAGCAGCAAACATGTTCAAAATGGCCAAAAACTGGAGTGGTATGTGGTCCCTGCCGGAGCTCCTCCAAGCTCATTCTCCTCTTTCCCTCAGCGTCCCTCCCCAAGGCCTGGCTGAGGGGCCAGCCTGTAGCCCCCTTTTTACACCGTTTCCACAGCACAAACCCCCTGGCCCAGCGTCTGGTCGTGTTGAGCCCACTGGGTTCTTTTACAACTGGGGTCACAGGGCCTTGGAGAGAGGGTGTAAAGGATAAGGGTAAATAGATTATTGAATCCAGATAGACCCACGTGGATTGATGAGCTCTTTGAGGAGTTTCTCCTTAAATTCAGAGTCTCAGGTTTCCCCGGAAGCTGTTCCCTACTGCTTCCATCAGAGTCTGAATTCTGGGCTGGGGACAGCATTCGAGTGGTTCCAATAATAACATTGGTCACAGCTACCCTGCGCTAAGCACTCTACTAAGCACCCAGCATGCATTGTTTAATTGAATCATCACAGCAGCCCTGTGAGGGTCGGTACCATTAATGTCCCCATTGTGTCAGTTCAGAAACTGAGGCTTGGCTTAGCCCCATGCCCAGGGTGCCGTGACTAGGAAGTGACAGAAGCAGAACTCAGAAACTAGAACCCTGACTCCGGAACCTGGGTGCTCCACGTGCCCCTAGGCTGCTTCACGACCTTTGGAGCCAGAGCGAGTTGGGGTTGTGTCACAGCTCAGACTGGCCGTGTGACCCTGGGGAACTCGGCCTCTCCTAATCTCTTTCCTCCTCAGTGCAACAGCGGGGGAGGTAATAGTCCCGACCCCGGGGGGCTGGAGCGGGGATTCGTGGAGATCAGGCATCACCACGGAGAGCAGTGGGCGCTCAGTGAAGGTGGTGGCCGTGAGCTCCACATTCTTACCCCTGGTGGCGGCATCGCCTCCCATTTGGAGTAGAAGACACAGCTCTTAGAGACTCCAGTCAGCAGATAGCCAGCTTGAGGAGCAGCCCCGGGGTGCCCGGCCCGGCCTCCGTGTGCTCTCACTCCAACTGCAGACAGACACTCACACTGACAATGTCATACAGTGCGTGAGGTGCCTCCCCCCGGAAGAGGGCGCCCCAGGTCGTGCGCCTCCTGAGACGCCCACGACCTGTGTGGTGAGCGGGGTCGTGGCTCTCCTGACTCGGCTCTGAGGTTGTGGTCAGACTCAGGCAAGGCTGGAGCTTGGTGGGCAGACGGAGGAGAGGTGGGTGGGCAGGGAGGGGCTCCTTGAGGTCAGAGAGGCGGGAGCTCTGTTCGGGAGCCCTGAGGGCCTGGCGGAGAGGTTCAAAAAGCCCGCGTGGTGAGCCCATTGGGCGCTGGTTTCATAATGTGGCTTTGAGTGTCAGCAAGACTAGATCAAGGAAATCAAGTAAAGACACAGTTTGGAACCCAGGGACGAACTTTCTGACCACGGAGGAGATGAAACCTAGGATGGGACCATGGAGGCAGAGTGTAAAATCAGTTATCATCATTTTCTGAGAATGTTTGAGCTTTCATGAAATATATTGTGCATAAAGCTAGATGCTGCGTGTTTTTGTTTTTGGGTTTTTTTTTTTTTGGTGAGAAAGAGTAGCCCTGAGCTAACATCTGTTGCCAATCCTCCTCTTTTTGCTGAGGAAGATTGGCCCTGGGCTCATATCCGTGCCCATCTTCCTCTACTTTATATGTGGAACGCCGCCACAGCACGGCTTGATAAGCGGTGCATAGGTCCGCACCTGGGATCCGAACCTGTGAACCCTGGGCCGCCAAAGCAGAGCGCGTGAACTTAACCACTGCGCCACCGGGCTGGCCCTGCTATGTGTATTTTTGTGCTCCCAAACTAATAAAGTGCCTTTAGAGAAAGAATACCTATTTTTCAATCATGTAAATATTGCTTTTCCCCTGAAATTTCTTAACCCCCTCCCCCCTACTATTCAAATAAAAGTCCTAGGCCATTTCTTCATTTTCCTGCAGTGATACTACCTTTCCTGCACATGGCACTCAAGTTTGGAGCCCTTAAAAATAATCAAGAAATCATGCACAGTGAAAACCTGGGCGGCTTGTTTACCGTGCTGCTCTCAAGTTACAGGACGGGCCCTCTCGTCCTCTTCCGGCTCCAGAATCTGTGATATGGATTCAGCTGGAGGAGAAGGAAGGGAAGGAGCCTCACAACTGAGCTGGAGGTGACTGTTGGAGCTCCCAGTTAGCACAGCCCCCCCCCACCCAGAGGAGGAGAGACCCGTGGTCTCCTGCAAGGCAGTTCAGGATTGGAGGTGTGTGAGCAGAATGGCTTGGGACCCGTGGAAGGTGACAGTGTGCCGAGTACAGGACAGACTGGGCTTCAAGTGTGGCCTCCACTGCCCTCCGCTTTCTCCCTGGGCATTTGTCCCCACGCACTCAAGTTCTTGGTGTCCGCGTCCTGCTTCCCTTTCTGGACGTGAAGCTCCTGGAGGGAGCGGGCCCTGTGTGTCCCCCATGTGCCTCACGGTTAGCATAGTGTCTTGCCTACGCAACTAGTAGTGACTGCACGAGAACTAGACTGTGGACAGAGGCAGAGGCGTCAGGGGAGTTAGGAGGAGCTGGGAGTCGTGGGGAAAAGAAATCAGACTCGGAAAGGGGGGGTAAACGGGGAAGTGCTGTGTAGTTGGGTCTTGATTGCCCCTCCCTTCCCCACTCCCCCTCCGGCCCCAGCCCGTGGTTCAGCCTGCACGGCCTCTGAGTGGTGGCTCCCAGCCCTGTGGTTCGAGGCTCCCCAGGGGGGGCACCACTGGGGTCAGGAGGCCTGAGGTCGAGGCCGCCACCTCAGCTCACCCAGGCCGGTGTCTTCCTCTCTCAGGGACTCTTGCCACATTCTTGAGAGCTCGCCCAGCTCCCAGGGCAGCGTCTGAGTGGCTTACAAAGCACGGAGCCACGCTAAGGCCAGGGTCCCTCTTTTCTGTTGCAGCTGCCGGAAATGCTTTCTGCCAGGCGGCCCAGCTGCACCTGCAGCTCCAGAGCAAGCACGACGCGGCCACCTGCTTCGTGGACGCAGGCAACGCCTTCAAGAAAGCCGACCCCCAAGGTGAGGGCCTCTGTGGGTCCCTGGGCTGGCTGCCCAGAGCCCCTGCCGAGCACTGTCCAGAGAAGTCCTCGGTTGCCGTGAGACTCGGGGTTCCTCCGTGGCCGACGTGCGGTAGGCTGGCGGGAGGCACACGCGCCTTCGTCTCAGAGCTGGCTCCCTTCCGGGCGGCGTTTGTGTCCTGCTCCGCCTCCACCTCCCCGCTTGGACTTGGTGTATGCAGCTGAGCGCTCGCTCCCGAAGCCCGGGAGCGTGTGGGAGTGGGAGTTACATTTCAGACCCACCGCATGCCAAGGAGGGAGGAAAATCTGTTCTCTTGTCAGAATTAACACGCAGAAGGGGATGGGAGGGGGTTCCAAGACCAGCCAGGTAGGAGTCGCTGCCGAAAAAGGAGCGGAAATTATCCTAACCTGGCTTCCCTCCCCCTGGGGGAATCAGAGAACCAAGCCGGAGACGCAGTTGCCAGTGAACAGGTTCCTTCAAGTGAGAGAGGGTTGGGGACGGAAGCTCCGCTTGGGACTGAGTCATCGTGAGAAACTGTTTTTGTCCCACTGGGCTCGTCCTGAAGTGGAAGCGCAGCCCAGCGGGTACCAGACTTTTGAATCTCACGGAGCTGGAATTTTAATTTATTTTTTTAATCTCGGTGCCAGACGTAGGTTGCTAACTTTTAATTTTAGCAAGCAAAGACTTTTTTTTAATGACCATGTATGGTCACTGTCCTCTCATAAGAGAATGGGAAATACATGAATATTTAAAAAAGAAAAAAAAAAGGCTGCATAATCTTGGAATAAAGACCTGTCCTTCCCAAGAGAGGACAGTTTGCACCAGCGCATGGAGGTCTCTGCAAAGATTGGCGAGCACGGTGCACACACCAGCACTGGGGAATTGCTGGCGGATCCATTACCGCCATCAGGGACATTTAGTTTCCCGTCAGAGGTGTGATCTCTGTAGACCAGGTAGCTTTTCTCTGTCCCCGAGACGTGACCTGTCACTCCTCTGCGGCGGGTGTCTCAGGTGTTGGTCTGAGTGGTCACGTGGTGGGCTCAGGCTTGGCAAGAACCCGAGGACAGGCCTTGTGACTGGGTGGGCCACTGTCGCTCTGTGCACGAAGCTGAGTGAGGCTGGCTGGCAGCGCTGGGCCGCTGCGGGCTGCGTGGGTGATGCAATGATGACCCCGGGGCGACCCTGGGTGGTTTTCACCTCGAATCACCCAAGGAAATCTCTGTGTCCCTCATGGAGCCCTCACCCCAGCCCTTCCTCTGCTCCCTGGGGAACCACTTGAGCTGGAGATGTGGCCCTAGCGTCCGTGACGTTCAGCTTCTGCTCTGGGGTGACTGGAAGGCCTCGTTGTGGGGTGGGGGCTGAGTGCCAGGCTGCGTGATGTGTGTGCAGCACCATTTGCTCTTTAGATGAGCCCAGCGCCTCCCGCAGACAGGCCCCCCGGGCACCGCGCTGTCGCCTTCTTCCCAGGCATTTGATCTGAGCTTTTTCAGGCTCTGCAGGGTGTGTGTGGGATGCTAGGGCCTGGGTCAGGGATGTGGCCCGAGCCTGGCCTTGGGAAGCTCGGGGGGGTGGCTGAGGCGTCCCAGGCCGCTGAGAAGGCAGCTGTAGTTGGGTGTGGTGACGTGCCCATCGCGGGGCACAGAGGCCGAGTTGGTTTCTCCAGGGACCAGCCAGCACAGCTCGCTGCCCTGGGAGTGGGGCGGGGAGAGGGTGGAATTGGTGGGGTGGGATGGGGAGGGCCTTCAGGAAGCGTGAGGGGCAGCGGGCGGAGAGAGCCTGATCTGGCAGAGCCGGGAGCGGGTGCCGTGGCTGGAGCCCCGGTTCCTGGTGCTGAGCAGGGAGCAGTGGTGGAGCGGCGTCCCAGCACGCTGCCTCACGCCTGCGCACCCCGGTCACGGCCCCAGGAGTGTGTGGCTCACGTGTTCTCTGCGGTCCGGGTGTTACTTAGTCTTTGGGCCTCTGTTTCCTGGTCTGGGGCAGCAGATACACACGGGAGGTGAAGCACAGATGGGCCCAGTGCGGCACCTGGGGCGGGGTGAACAGCCACTAGGGATGGCCCCCAGCTCCTGTCAGGCAGGGGCCTGGCCTGGGCTCCCGCAGCCTCCTCCCCTTGGCCACGTGCTCTGGGAAGCAGCTGGAGGGCCCATCTGGAATCCTGCCCGGTTTCCCCAAGCAGGTGGCCAGCTCCCTGGGGCCTCACTGGTTGCCTCACCTGCCTGGACGGCCTGCGTTGGTGTCAGCACTTCCCGCAGAGCCCTGGAGGACCCCCTCAGGAGACAGCTGGGGCCGCGCCTTTGCCCAAGGCCTGCCAGAGCTGACTGGGGTGGAGGGAGAGGATTTGGCTCCTGTCGTTGCTCTCTCCCGCTGCCCGTGTGTCCTGAGTGCCGGCCAGGGGGTGGCCTGCTGCCCCCTTGGTGGCTGGGTGGGGAGGTGATGCCCCAGCTATGGTTTCCCAGCCACTGCCGGCCGCTCTGGGTGGACTCAGGCCAGGGAGGCCTCTTCCCCCGCCTGCCCGACAGCTGGACCCCGGGATGCGTGTGTGCTTGCCTGCACCCAGGGCAGGGAAGTGGCCAGGCCCCTGCCTCCCCTCCCCCTTGTGCCCTATCCCCCACCCCACCCCCCGCTGACGTTTAGTGGGCGCCTACTGCTTACCCAGACACGTGGCATCTTCCTTTAAGCTATCCCACTTCCTTGTGGGGTTCTGTGATCTGGCCCCTGTTCTACTGAGGGGGAGCCTGGGGCTGGGTCCCAGGGCGTGATGGGGGGGACTGCCGCTGGACAGAAGGTGGCTGGGCACAGGGATGGGTTGAGGGCCCTGGGTCACAGACTCCCTGTCTCCCTAAGCTGCACCTTCCCCTCTGTGGGCCTCAGCACCCGCCCCCCCCCACCCCCCCCACCCCTGCCCCGGGCGCGACCCCACCACAGAGAGGCCGGTTCCTGGTCACCTCTGTGCCGTCCCTTCCCGACCTGACCCCACCCCCCGTCCTGGGCTGGATGCTTCCCGGAGCCCCTTTCTGGCTCCAGCTTTCTGTGGGTGGATGGAGGGGATGGTGGGCAGGTGCGGTGGGTTTTGCTGTGCTGGCCCTTGGGTATGCTGGTCGCTCATCCTCAGGGTCTGGTGACTGGAGATGAGCCAGGTGTAGCCAGTGTGTCAGCTGCGCTCTCGCAGGGCCGTCAGCTGGCAGCCTGCTGCTCTCAGAGACAGCTGTCCCAGATCGAGGAGCAGGCGTGAAGGGGCTTAACCCCTTAAACCCGGGAAGCCTGGTGCTGCCTGAGGCCAAGCTTTCCTCCCCGGCCGCCCCTGGCCCCTGCGGTGCAGACAGCACTCCGGCGCCAGTGCCAGCAGCTGCGGGAGCCTGTCCTGCCGGGGGAGCTTCCAGCCTCCCCGCTGCGGGGCTGCTGATCTCACCAGGAGCACCCTTTGCCACCTGTGCCTGCAGGCACCGGGTGGGGACAGAGCGAGGGGGCCCACGAGCCGCCTGCCTGGGAGCCTGCCAGCCCCGCCCCCTGGGGTGGAGGGTGGAACGAGTGCTTGTGCAGAGCCCTCCCTGCCCCCAGCTGCTCCTCCGTGGTCCTTATGGTGCTGCTTATCACCGTGTTGCAATCTGAGTTGCAACCCGTCATTAGCTCATCAGTTACTTCCAGAAATGCTCTGTTACAAAGTACATGTGTGCTAAAGTAACACTTTCCAGCTATAATTTTTTCTTGTGTTGTCTCCGTTTCCTTCTCCTCTGCCCACTTTTGCCTTATTTTTCTCTTCCCCACTGCCCCCGGCTTCCAGCTGTCAGCCTCAGAGCCTTGACCAAATGGTGTACCTTCTCTGAATCTTTGTGGGGTCCCCGGAGGCCTTTCAGAATTGGACCAAACCTACAGACCTTTCTTCCCCCAGAGTAGTGCTCACAGACACCCACTTTTTCCATGTAAATTTAGGGGGCCTTGTGGGCTCCCTGAAGTCCCAGCCACAAGTCTGAGGCTAAGGGCCTCTGTGTGTGTGTCTCCCTGGGTGGTGAGACCTGTAGCCCCTTGAGAGCAGGCGCCAGGCCTCGCACTGTGTAGCGTCTCGGCCCATGGGCCCAGCTGACTGTCGAGACCCAGCGGTGGACCAGGAGCCTTGCGAATGCCCTGGACTGCGGGTTGAACTTTCAGTCTCGCCCCAGCTCTGAGCCTACATCCTGTGGTCCGTCCAGGGTCTCTGTCTTTCTGCCTCCACCTCCCCAACACCCTTGCCTCCTGAGATGTGTTAAAACAATGTTAAAACAAAAAATCCACCCGAGAGATCATCTCTATCTGCTAGAAAATGCCGCCCACTCATGCTTCTCTCTCTTCCAAATAACTTGTCAAAAAAAAAAGAAAAAAAAGCCGTCCCCAAATTTAAAGTCTTGCAAGAGATAGTAAAACGAAAGTAGCCCAGTTCCTCCTCACGTGCCATCCCAGGCCCCTGTGTGTGTTGTTGGTGAAACCTGCTGTTTGAGGAGCTCGGGTGGGGGGAGCAGTGCCAGGTTATGGGGGGCACAGAGGGTCTGCTGAATGCCAAGACGTGGGCAAAGAGATGGTGGATTCCAACTCAAGGGGCCTTGGTGGCCCGGCATCTGGCCTTCTCCAGCCGCAGATGGAGCCCAGACAGGTGTAGGGACATAGCTGATTCAGGTCCCACGGTGAAAGGCTGGCCGAGCACAGGTGGACCCTGGGCGTCCCTTGATGTCAGCCCTGGCCGCCTCTGGCCCCAACTTCCCCCTTGCCAGCCTTGGCCTGTGAGGTAAGGCCCTGGCAGATCTGGCTCAAAACACCCACGGGAGTCTGGACGTCAGCCCAGCCCAGCGCTGGCTGGGTCCTATCCCTGGGGTTGCTGGGAAGGTGGTGGCATCATGGCGGCCCAAGGGAGAGGCAGCCGCGTCAGCAGGCCAGTCTGCGGAATAAATCAGCGTGACCAGGAATGCCTTCACCTTCCTCCCAGCCCCGCAGAGTGTAGCCCTGGCAACCCCAAGTGCCTGCCGATCTCTGCGATCTCTCCGCAGGCAGCCGGAGTGCCTGCCCCACGTCTCCCTCCTCTCCTTGGCTTCTGTTGTGACTTCACTTTTTCATTTCTCCTCCCTGCCTCCCCTTTTCTCTCCCCAGAGGCCATTAACTGTTTGATGAGAGCAATCGAGATCTACACAGACATGGTAAGGGTCGCTGCCTGTCCTGTCCCCGCCCCAGTCCACCTTATTGCCCCAGCCTCACCTCCTCTCTTCCAGCACCAAGAGCAGGCGGGGAGGGGAGTAGGAGCCCCGGCATTTGGTCACCTGAGCTGGGCTGGGCTGGCTGGGTCGTCACCCAGTTCCCCACCAGCGTGGCTCCTGGCAGCAGCTCTCAGCACGTCTCAGGGGCTGATGGCCCCTTCCCACCAACCTCTCCATGGCCTGTCCCTGTTTTCATTGGTAGAAGACATGGTTATTGGGGCGTGTGTGTGTCCAGTGCTTTTCCCCTTGCCCAGCCTTCCCCACCAGCATCCTGTTTGATCAGCAACTGGGGACAGGCCAGAGGGGTGGGGAGGCGGGGCCCAGTCGGCTCAGTCCCGCCCCACCCCGCCCTGCCCCGCCCCAGGGAGCATCCCCATTGACAGAAGAGGCCCAGAGAGGGGGCTGCCAGCCTGAGGCCAGGGAGCTGGGACCGTGGACCAGACCGGGTGGGCTGCTGTCAGTTCTGCTTTCTGCCTCTTCACGCTCCAGCTCTGTGTCGGCAGACCCCTCCCCCAGGCAGGAACATGGGGTCTAGGCAGATGCTCTGGTACCGTAGTTACAGCAGTGACAGCAGCGCCTGTTATGGAAGCAGACACTCCCGGCCGAGGGTTTGATCCTCTTCTCCAGCAGCGCTGTGCAGGGGGCGCTGGTGTTACCCCATTTGACAGTCAGGAAAGGGGGCCCGGACAAGGGACGTGACTTGCCCAGGGACATGCCTACACGCTGGAGTCACTGAGACCCAGAACTAGGCCTGGCTGAGCCAGGGCCTCGGCCTTCCTGCCGCCCTCAGCAAGGGGGTGGCTGTGGGGCAGCGCTGTGTGTGGAACGGTGGGCCAGGCAGCTGGACCCCACGGGGCGGGGGCGGGTGGGGTGCTCAGCCGCTCCGGGAGCTGCAGGCCTCCTTGGGGGAGGCTCTGGGTGTCCACAGGGGAGGCTGGAGAACGGGGGGTTGGCCTGTGAGAAGGGCCACCTCCATGGCCACTCTGGGGGCGGCGGAGGCCAAGAGGGAGGTTGTTCCTTGGGCAGTGGGGACACTCAGGCCCTCAGCCGTGTTTTCTCCAGAGCTTTTACCAGGAGACTGGGCTGGTCTGCCTGCCTCTCTGGACCGTCTTAGCAAATGCTTCCTCAGCCAGGGCTTCTGCCGAGTGCCTCCACATACGTTGTCTCTGGTGCCCCCCCATCTGCCCCTTGGACAGGACAGAAGCTGAGGCTGGATGGAGTGACTTGCCCACGGTCCCCGGTCAGGGCAGCACTCAGACTGGGCCTGTCACTCGAGAGCCTCCCTCTTAAGCCCTGAACCCCTCTGCTTCTCGGTACCCTCCTCGGCACACCTCACCTCAGTGTGGCTGAGGGGTGGGAGTCCACCAGCCTTGGGGACCTGGAGGGACCTGGTTGAGCTGGGGTGGGGTATTCAGATCGTCACTGCTCACAGCTAGCCCCTTCCCGTGTCCCACCCAGGGCCGCTTCACGATCGCGGCCAAGCACCACATCTCCATTGCTGAGATCTACGAGACGGAGCTGGTGGACATCGAGAAGGTGAGTGGCAGTGAGGGGCCCTGCCTGACCGACAGCAGGGAGGGGCTGCAGCAGCCTGTCCTCTGGGACCGGGGCCCCTCTTGTCCTGTGCGCTCGGGGGAGTCGTCTGGCGTCTGAGTACTGGGAAAGGGGCGTGGGCCGCTGGAAGAGCTTGGATGAAGGACAGGCCTGCGAGTGACGCAGGCTGCATTGTTGCCTCCTTGCCCCCTCCTCCCTCCCGGTGTCTCCCCAGGCCATCGCCCACTACGAGCAGTCTGCAGACTACTACAAAGGCGAGGAGTCCAACAGGTACTGGGCGCCGGGCTCCCCTCCTCCTGCCCGCCCCAGCCCCCAGTCAGCCCCTGACCAGCCACCACTGCCCCCCTCTTCTCTCTGCCCCACGCAGCTCGGCCAACAAGTGTCTGCTGAAGGTGGCTGGTTACGCCGCACAGCTGGAGCAGTATCAGAAGGCCATCGACATCTACGAACAGGTGGGGACAGGAGCAGGTGGGGACAGGTGCGGGCTTGCGAGCCCTGCTCCCTGCGGAGGGCACTGCGCCCCATCCTACACGCCCCACAGCGCCCTTCTCCCCGCTTCCCTGTCACCCTTCTCACCCTCACCCCCTGCTCAGCCTGGCTAAACGCTTTCTCCGCCCACGACCCCACTTGGTGTCACCGCCCTCTCCCCCGACGTGCCCTTCCCACACTCCTCACAGAGCTCCTGGGTGGTGAGGCTGACTCTGAAGAACCAGAGTCGGGGAGGGAGCGGGAAGACTTGCCCAGGCCTGGAGTGGGCAGAGGCAGCTGAGGCCCCGCAGGAAGGGGGCCGGGAAGCAGGGTCCCTCACCGTGGTGGGAGGGCAGGAATGTCGCACGGGCGCGCAGGCTCCCCTCTGCTGTGTGGGGAGGGCTGGACAGGGCCTGGGCCGTCCTGGTGGGTTCAGCCTGGCCAGGAGACAGGCAGGCAGCTGGCCTCGGAGGAGAGAGGGGCGGGCACCGCCTCTCATGTTCCTGCAGCCTGCCACCCGTCTGCCCGCCGACGTGCCAGCCTCCTGTCAGGCTTGACAGTGGGGCTGCCTCCTCCCACCATCTCGGGCGCCTCGGAGGCCCATGGACACCTGGCTTCAGCCCTGTGGCGACACCCGCCCCGTCGTGCCCTGGTCCTCGGTGGCTCATGTAGCAGTTGCCGACTTCCCCAGGGCTGGCCCCTGGCCTCCCTGCCCTCGAGGTCCACGACTGAGCCTCATCCGGGGCACAGACCCACTCCCGGCTGTTCCCCAGTGCCTGGCAGTGACATGGCCCTCTGGCTACCCGCCCCAAGCTCACAGCGCTGCCTCCGTGTGCCACAGGTGGGGACCACCGCCATGGATAGCCCCCTCCTCAAGTACAGCGCCAAGGACTACTTCTTCAAGGCGGCCCTCTGCCACTTCTGCATCGACATGCTCAATGCCAAGGTGAGCCCAGGCCAGGGGCCACCCTGAGCTTACCCCACCTGTCCTGTGACCGCCCCTGGGCACCTGTCTGTCACTAGGCCAAGTGGCCCCTTAGCAGGGGCCACTCCCTCACTCACATCTGGCCCCTGACCTTTGGCCTTGGGCGGGAAATGCTTGTTCTCGCTGGTGTGTTTTGGTCTCTGGTGTCACGTGCCTGGTCCTTGTAGCCTTTGAGTTTCCAGTTCCTGGCTTTCTCATTGCCAGGCTCTTTCTTTCATGAGAGCACGTTTTGAATCCTTTCTGCACCCTGTGAGGTCGGCACCAGTGTCCCCCGTTTATAGATGAAGACACTGAGGCTGAAAGCAGAGTCCCTTGTTCAAGGCCACATGCGAACTGTAGCCAGCGTTCTAGATCTTTCTGACTCCCAGTGTCACGATTTGAACCATAGCCTGTGTGCCCACCCCACCCATTTTCAGGGCTTTTTGGCAAGAGGGGTCAGTGCTGGGTGAGGGGGCGGAGAGTGGCTAAGGGGAGAGGCTGGACTCTGCGGAGCCCGAGATTTCTGGGGTCTCAGCCATCCCACCGCTGCCGCAGCCCTGCTCCCTGCATCCGGCAGGGTGGGTGAGAGCTTGGGCAGATCCCTGCTGCACCCCTTACCCTGTGCCCTGAGCAGGTCACTGCCCTCCCTGGGCCTGTTCCCCACTTTCAAAGTTGGGTCACCATCCTTGGACCCTCCGTGGGTCCCCGTGGTGGTTCCCTGTGAGAAGTGCCTGGCACCTGGCCTGACGTGTGAGGTGCATCATAGGGGGCGCTTGTTCTCACCTGCCCCCTACCCTGGGGGGACCAGGTGCGGGAAGGGCACCGGGCACCGGCCTGGGAAACCCTCCCCGGGCCCCCACCCTCCTCCGCCTGCAGCTGTCTCTGCCGCCAGGCTTGTGCTGAGCTCAGCCCGGTGGAGGTGCTGCCAGGCTCAGAGCCAGGTGACACTGGAGGCTGGGAGAGGGCGCAGAGAGCCCACACAGGGCCCAAGAGTCCCCAGATCCCCTCGGCTGCTAGGCCAGAGGCTCCGATGGCCCTTCTTCATTAGCTTGTCCCCTTCCTTCCTTCCCCCCGCTCCGTGCTCAGCTGGCTGTCCAGAAGTATGAGGAGCTGTTCCCTGCCTTCTCCGACTCCCGGGAGTGCAGGCTGGTGAAAGTGAGTGCTGCGCGCTCCGGCCGCCCCGTTCCCGCGTCTGGGCCTGGAGGCGGGTGGCCGAGCCTTGGGTGGGGTGGGCTCCCGTGAGCATGAGACACATAAGGCTCAGGCAGCGATGGAGCCAGGGGTGGAGCCAGGAGACTGCGTGATCACGCACACGCGTACACACACGCATGTACACACACAGGAGATTCTATTTCAGTGAGGTTGTGAGCGACTTCTGAAGCCAAGGGCAGGACTGGAACATGGTCCCTTCCTTCCTGTCAGCATGGAGCCCCCCCGGCTTTCCCCGACCTAGATGGGGTGTGTGTGGATCTAGTCCAGGTCAGGCCTCAGGCCAGCCTGGTCCCCGAGCCCTGCCTGCCATTTTCTTGCAGAAACTGTTAGACGCCCATGAGGAGCAGAACGTGGACAGCTACACCGAGACGGTGAGTGGCTGGGGGTGGCCGTCCTTCTCAGACACACAGTCTTGTGAACCTCACCCTTCCTCTCTGGCGCCGACCCCTGGCTGTGAATGCCTCGCTCCAGTCGCCCCAGGATCCTCACAAGTAGCCCCGAGAGGTGCAGGGAGTGTCCCCCATTTGGGAGCTGATGCGCTGAGGCTGAGGGGGCTGAGGAGACTCGTCCTTGGCGCCTCGGGGCCAGAGCTGGGATTCGAACCCACACCTGTGTGCCCCTGAAGGCCAAGGTGTGCAGCACTCGGAGCCCCCCAGTGGGCAGTTGAGGGCTGTCTCACGTCGGGTGCTTTGATGACCCCCGGGGTGCAGATGGGGAGGGAAACGAGTTGTGTCATGCCTCCTTCCTCCCCCAGAGAGGTGGGAAGGAGGAGGAGGGAAGTGGGGCTGAGGGGCAGGAGGTGGAGCTCAGGCGCGGCCAGCTCGGTCCTCATCCGGTCCTCTAGACTGTGTCTGTCAAGCGGGTCTCCCTGGGTGCCCCTCAGGAATCACAGGCCCCTAAACGACGGCAGAGACCCAGCTCACTCTGGACCCTCCTGCCCCAGTGTGGGTTCCCTCTCTGGCCTCTCCCTCCCCGTGGCATGCGGAACAGGCCTTTTCATGCCTCCAGGCCTCAGTTTCCCATCCTTGAAATAAGGAAGCTGGACTTCTTTCTTTTAAGCTGCAGAATCTTCCCGCACCCGAGGGAAGCCTTATGCCCAGCCGGTGAAGACACGAAAGGGAGCCGCTCTGGCTGGGGTCGGGGCTGCCACCTCCCTTGCTCCTGTTCAGGGACTGAGGCCGACAGGGACACAAGAGAATCTCGGGCCTGGAGATGGTGGCCTCGGGGATTGGGACAGGGAGGGAGCCTTGGCCAGGCATGGGACTGGCCACCCGTCACGTTGCCCGCTGTGCTCTGCGCAGGTGAAGGAATATGACTCCATCTCCCGGCTGGACCAGTGGCTCACCACCATGCTGCTCCGCATCAAGAAGACCATCCAGGGCGACGAGGAGGACCTGCGCTAAGCCCCCTGCCCCCTGGCGCTCTTCCTGCCCCGTCAGCTGTCCCCGGTGGCCCTCCAGCGAGGATAACGGCGTGAGCCCAGAGAGAGGTGGAGCCTGAGACCCTGGCTGCGGAGCCCTTCCCTCCCTCCCCACCGAGGAGCCTCGCTGGCCACTGCGGGCTCAGCGCTGCTTCGGGGCCCTGAGGCCGGGCCCGCTGGCCAGACGGTCACCCTCTGTTCTCGCTGCATCCCTCGCCCCGCCCATTTATTTAAGCCCCCAAAGGTGCCCTTCTCCACCCCAAAGCAGAATCTTTGACACAGATCTATTTGCTGAAGGTGCTGTGGGGGTTGGGGGTCAGCACCCGACCGCCGTCTCCCGAGCAACTGAGTTGGGAGGTTGGTTTCCATCTCCCCACTTTGTCCCCCAGCCGAGGCTTGAGCACACGTAGCCACCGAGATGTGCTCTCAGCGCTGGGGGTGGTCTCCCTCCCCCCAGCCTCCTGCAGCCCCAAGCTCTCAGGAGAGACCCCAGGCCCTGGAGCGCAGAGGATCGGCCCGCACCCACCCCTCCGTCTGCTCCTTTCCCTAGTGCTTTGAGGTTTTGTGAGTTGGAAGCTGCAGCTGGCTCAAGAAAGGAAATAAAAGACACCACTTTTGCATGAGTCTCTCTTCCTCCTCACCTCACCTGTGCTGTCCCTTCCCCTCAGGGCCTGTGTCTGTCTTCTGTCCCTCTGGTCCCCTCGGGCTCTGGGCACACTGTGGGAAAGAGGAGGCACGAGTCCTCTACAAGCTTGAGTGGGAGACGGGGCGGGGTGGAGGTCTGGGGTCGAGAGGCCCGGGGAGGGTGGGGAGGAGCTCCCGAGCCCGGGAACGCCTGTCTGGATCCAGCACTCTCTGGGGGCCTTGGTATCCTCAGCTGGGATGGCGGGTGGCAGTGCCGCCCCACATTGCTGGCTGGAGGAGGGGATGCAGCAGTGGGGTAAGAAGGGGTGGAGGAGGCCCCCCGAATCTCCCGTCCTCGCCCCATGTCCACGTTTCCCTGAGTGGCGCTTGTTCCTTCTGTCAGGGCAGGGAGGAAGCGGCTTTGGTGGGCAGAGTACAAGGAGCCAGTAGGTACGGGGAGAGGAAAGGAGATGGCAGGAGCCCTCTGCCCCAGAGTGGGGCAGGAACCACCCTCCTCCACACCCCACCACGCAGGCCTGCCTGTCAGCTGAGCAGCGCCACGTGCACATGCTCCCAGGGCCCTGGCCCCGCCCTCCCCACTGGGGGGACAGAGCTGGAGGCAGGCAGTGTCACCATAGGATGGGATGATGCCAGGAAGTGAACAGGGCAGGGACAGTGCAGAGAAACCAGGGCAGGCTCCTTGGGGAGGTGCTCCAGCCTAGAGCCTGGAGGAAGTCCAGGAGAGGTGCAGGTTCACCATGTCAGGAGAGAGTGACCTGCCCTGCTCCTCTGTCCCCTTCAGCTCCCCCAGCTCCAGTCGATTGATAATGGCTGCTTAGAGGCAGTGAGGACTCCTGAGCCCTGACATTGATTACCGATGCCTGCCGTGGGCACAGGCTGGAGGGTAAGTGGTGAGTCTGTTTCTGCCCTCAGTGACCTGAAAAGTGATTCTCAACCCTGGCTGTGCTTCAGATCATTGAAAGTACTCAAGGTTCGGTCGCACCCTGATCAACTGTTGTTTGAGTGAGATTCCCCACCCTTTTGGGGTTTTTTGCTTTTTCCTGAAAGTTCCATAGGTGATTCAAATGTGCAGCTAGGGTTGGAAACTACAGGACGGTCCTTCCCTTTTCAAGCTACAGTTTACTTCCTTCCTTCATTCACTCAACAAATATTAAGTGGACATAGTTTCAAGGTTACCACGTGAGGTAGAAGAAGCCTGAAGAAAACCTTCTTCATAAGTGGCAGAACTAGACCCCACGTTCTGCTACTGAGCGAATATTTACCAAGCACCTGCTGGGTGCCGTGCCCTGGTCTGGCCCTGGGGACACAGCACACAACACCACGGCCGGAGCCTGCCCTCCGGGAGCTTGAAAGCTCACCAACACCAGAGATCCGGAGTTGACGCAAACTCCTCTCTCCTCACTGCCCTCCAGATCCAGTGTGCCCGTGAGAACCTTCCTCTTAGGTCTCTTAGGTAACGGGGTCCTAGGTGCTTGGCAAAGGGCGTCGCACAGTGCATGGGGTTTTAATACGTATTTACTGAACGCTCGCTTTGTGTCAGGCCTTGCGGCCCAGGTGCCGGGGATCTGACTGTGACCAAGGGAGAGCGAGTCACTGCCTTCATGGATTGTGTAGTCTGTGCTGTGCACATATGTGTGTTTCTGCATGGAGGAGGGTGACGAGATTACTCAAGGTGGCCAGAACAGTTGGCCAACTCATGGTTTCCGGAAACGAGATACAAGTGTACACAGAGTCCGAAAACCCCTGATGCCCTTCTAGAGACAGGAAAGCATATACAGGAAGCCCTCGGGGTCAGAAAGACCTGGCTTACGTCCTGTCTCCACCACCTAGTAGCATATCAGTCAAGGGACTTTCTCTCTCTCTCTGGGCCTCAATTTCATCCTCCATAAATTGGGATGATAAACCCCTTTCCAGGCTTGTTGCAAGGGATGTCTGGGCACGTAGTAAATGCTGAGTAAATGCATGCGGGGTAACAATAGCAGGGTGGTTGTGAGGATTCCATGAGATGATCAGGGCCAACGTGACTGGCACAAAGTAGGCGTTCGATAAAGGAGGGGGTCATTATTTGCCAAAACAGATGGCCAGATCTTTTTCCCTTGGGGTAGGAAGAATGCATTTCATCATTTTAAAGGTGATGTGATTAAACTAATAAACTATGGAGCTGTCTTGTTTGGGTCCCAGTACTGACTGCTTCTTACTAGCTGCGTGATCTTAGACAAATTAATTTACCTCTCTGTGGCGCAGTTCCTTCACCTATAAAACAGATATAGTACCTAGCTCAGCCGGCCTGTGAGTTTTAAATAAATTGACAGAGGGAAAGCGCTTAGAACGGGTCCTGGCACGTAAGGGCTATATTGAGTTTTATGATTTTTATCATTATTCCACCTTCCACACAGCCCACAGCGAGGGCCACCACCTCCCATCTTCAGACCACAATCGGGAGCCCCCTTCTTGGCTCTGACAAGGAACAGGAAGGAGCGCGCAGGCGCGTGGGGCAAAGTCTCGTGGGAAGCCCAGGCAGCCCCGCTGGCGGCCATCTTGGTAAAGGGCAGCGACGGCAGCTTCGCTACATCATCAGTCTGCGCGACGGCCGGGCACCCGGCGCTCCGGGTCGCTTCGGGAGGGTGCGGTAGGGCGGGCCGCGGCGGGGGCCGCCGGGGGTGAATAGTTGAGGGGCGTGATGGGGGAGGCGGCCGTGGCCGCGGGGCCTTGCCCGCTGCGCGAGGATAGCTTCACGCGCTTCTCGTCGCAGAGCAATGTGTACGGGCTGGCGGGCGGCGCGGGCGGACGCGGGGAGCTGCTGGCCGCCACCCTTAAAGGCAAGGTGCTGGGCTTCCGCTACCAAGACCTCCGACAGAAAATCCGGCCTGTGGCCAAGGAGCTGCAGTTCAACTACATTCCCGGTGCGTGGCGCCGTGGGGCTGGGGGGCCTGGAACGCGGTGTTGAGAAGGCTTCTGAGGCTCTGAGCCGAGTCACCATGATGGTTGAATGAGTCAGGGTGATTGAAGGGGTCAAGGGTGATAATCAGGAGGCATTGGGTCAGAGGGCAGGGATAATAGGAGCCTGGAAGTGGTTAGGGTTCCAGATTCCTCAGACTCAGGTTAGAAGCCTTCATACCATGGTGATGGTGATCAGGGCTCAGTCGGACCCAGAGGTCACGGTAATTAATTGCGGTGGTCAGAGATTACGGAGTCCTAGAGGTCAGGGGTCCCCGTGATTGGGGATATGGGGTTCTCGAGCCTGCCTGAAACGCGACCTTTAAACTGTCCCCTCCTAGTGGACGCCGAGATTGTCTCCATCGACACCTTCAACAAGTCGCCCCCAAAGCGGGGCCTGGTTGTGGGGATCACATTCATCAAGGTACCCAGGCCCCCTCCACCTGCCCATGCCCTCCCCACTACACACACGGTGGATCCCACTGATTCTGACCCAGGTCCTTCTTGCTGCGTCTACTCCCCCCTGAGGCCGGTTTCCTTCCCCAGGATTCAGGGGACAAGGGCAGCCCCTTCCTTAACATTTACTGCGAGTATGAGCCTGGCTCTGAGTACAACCTCGACTCCATTGCCCGTAAGTGTGGCCTGGAAGGAAGGAGGGGTGGGGAGGGCGGAAGGGGGGCCTGGCGGGTCCCCGTGCCCATCTGCCTGTGCTCCCCTTGCAGAAAGCTGCCTGAACCTGGAGCTCCAGTTCACTCCTTTCCAGTTGTGCCATGCAGAGTACGTAAGCCGCGGGTGTCACACGCTGAGTGTGTGTGTGTTGGGAGGGATGCTATAGCAAACTAGAGATCACAAACTAGTCACTAGACAGACAGACTCTAGTTTTGGTTTTTAGAGCATCATTTTAAGGCGGCCATGGACCAGACTTGGCTGGTGGGCCACCGTTTTGTTATCCCTGAATTAGATAATCTGAGAGTTAATTGAGCACCTGTGTTCTAGACATCTAGAAGTCTCAGGTTCTAATGTTCTAGATTTGGACATTCCAAGATCCTGAGATGCGAAATTTTCTAGAATTTAAGCTCTGAGATTCCAAGATTCAAAAGTTCTACAGTTTGCTTAAAGTCCTAACAATTCTCATATTTCAAGGAGATAGAATACAGACCATCTAGAATACTGAGGTTCTAGAACACTGAACTATGAGAATTCCATTCTAGAGTTCTAGATTCCATTCTAGAACACCAACAGTCTAGCACAGTGGTTGGCAAACTTTTTCTGTTAAGGGCCAGATGGTAAATATTAGGCTTTGAGGGCCAGTCTCTGCCACAACTTCTCAAGTCTGCCATTGTAGCGAGAAAGCAGCCATTGACACGGTGTGAATGAATGGGCATGGCTGTTTCAATAAAACTTTATTTACAAAAACAGGATTTGGCCTGCAGATCATA